TGTTTGTTTTGCTTGTTTTTTATGGGGTGGGGTGGGGGCTGCGTGTGTGTTTGCTTTTTTGTTTGTTTTGTTTTGTTTCTATTTTTTAATTTTTTTTTTGTTATGTAGGGGTGGGAGGGGAGCAATATGTGTGAGAGAAAGAGACAGGCGAGAGAGAGAGAATCAAGAGAGAATGTGTTCGAGAGAAAAGGTTTTCAAGCGTGTATGGAAGGTGTTGTGCGCCTTGTACTTGTAGAGGTCTGTTCCTTTATGTGTATCGTGTTGGGTTTTTTTTTTTATTTTATGTGTGTGCGTTTATCTTTCCAAGATCGGGATGTCATATAATGGTTTGAATTCACCTTGAGCGTGGTGAGCGAGAACAGAATCTGATGAGTTTGCCATTGTGATTTTGCTTGTTGTTGTAGCTGTATTTTGGATGTTTAAGGCCAAGCCAAGGACCTTACAACAAACTGTTTAACTCCTCGGGCCAAGCTCTCTTCGCTTTTCCTTAGGAACACCAATTGTTGGGTGGTTGACGGGTGATCTGATATAGATATAGGATCTATGTGGTTTGCTCTTTCTTTCCCTTCAAATATTATCGTTCTTACATTCTCTCTTCCTTCTTTTCTTTGCATGAAACTCTCTAGCAACACCTCTCATCTTCGGAAATTACATGTATATATGGTCGCTTTTAAGGACAAGCGGGCTAACCCAGATTTCGGGGGTTTCCAGAAATCTTGACCTACACAGAAAGTGGGCAATGCCCTATCTATAAGAGAAGTTTGGTTTCACTGGTGTGTATATTTGTTTGATTGTAGAGAAGACTCTCCTTTGTCTTTTAAAGAAACTGAACAAGGGGCAAAAACTTTACCTTCGATTTTCGCAAAACAGCCTTTTTCGGGACAGCCCCCTTGTGCTTAAAAGCGACCAAATGTGAAGATGGCTTGTTTGTGTTGCAAGTGCCGTAATGCTCTTACTGTAATTACACTATACTTTTTTCTATCCCCCCCCCCCCCCGGTAACGGCTGATGGTTAGAGGACGCACCTGGATAAGTCCTACTTCTTTTTCTTTCCCTCTGTTGTTTCTGTGAGAGGATGGTTGGCGGGTGCTTTGGTCTGGTTTGCTCCTTCTTTCCTATCAAACATCTATCGGTGGGGTGGTTGGCGGGTGCTCTGGTGTGGTTTGCTCCTTTTTTCCTATCAAACATCTATCGTCCTTATCTCTTCCTCCTCCTTTTTTTGTGTTTGTTTCTCTCTTGTTACACCCATGATCTTCGGCACGTATATTCCATGATGGCCTAATTGTGTTGCAAGTGCCGTAAAACCCTTCTTAATCTTACTACTTAAACTAAACTGTTGTTTCTGAACGTTTGTCTTGCTTTTTCACCTGCACTAAACGACCGTTAATGTGTCGATTTCCTTGCCATCTCTTTACTGAAAACAAACTCCTAGAGTAAGGCTTGCACCGTGCGGTACCCAACCTGTTGACCCTTGTCGACACTTTGAAAGTGCAATGCAAGGATTGATGCGCGATTATAGTGTGTGTTTGTCTGTATTTTGTATGTATATAATGTGTGTATAGATAATGCTTGTGTACATATATATTATGTATTTGTGCGTGTGTGTGTGTATGTGTTTGATTTTGTTTACTCACCATAATCACCGTCAAGATTGTTGCCCATACTGTTATTGTTATTGTTATTATTATTATTATTATTATTATTACTACTATTATTTATTCATCACCATTATTCTTAGTCTTGATTGGTTTATATTATTTAATTTACAAAATTGCCCCATGCGCGTCTGCCTCCTCCTTCAATAGGCCTACATGACTGTATTGTCTAACGAATGCCAAGACTAGACGTGTACGCTCACCCCAAGTCAAGGCTGTCTTAGTCTTAATATAGTACTAAACCTGGGCTCACCCCTCCCCC